AGTAACTCTAAATTTTAGTTAAGACTAAATTTGTGCAACTAATATGAAAAATTTAAAATTCAAATAAAATATAATATTTTTTTTTTAAAAAAAATATTCTTTAAATTTTCATATTATTTTAAATAATTATTTTATGATAAAAAAAATTCTAGATCAAATATTAATATACATAAAATTTAAGTGAATGTTAATAGTTATTACTATATTATATAGGATCAAAGTTGACATAAAATATATTAATAACACATCAAATGTTATAATTCAGTTCTTAGTTTCGGTTCTTCGGTTCGGTTCGATTCTCGATACAGATATTTGTGAAATCTTCAGAACCGTACCAATTATTTTTTTAGTTCGGTTCGGTTCAGAGAAAGTCAAACGGTCAACGGTTATTTTTCGGTTCGAAGTGAATTCGGTTCAGTTTTTGGAACGGTTCGGAATTCTTCGAGTCCCGTGCGTAGTCCTAATATATATACATATGTATATATATATATATTATAATTTTTAGATTTGTTGGTGGTTACCTTATGGTTTAAATGTATTAGCTAATTTTTTAGAATTAAATTATAAATTTTAAATTTTTATTAATCAACATTTGTTCAAAGTTCTTTATGATTCTTAAGAGGAATACACACCAATTTGCCTAATTACAACAATATCTTGGGCAAGTTATTACGAGAATACGCCAAAATTTGAGAATCATATCATCTTGATTTTATAACAAATCAACCTAAAATTCGACATTCATACTCATACCAAAAAAAAAATCATACCACTTATTTTTGTTTTCAAAATTTCCAAATGCACTTATATCAATACTAAATCTATATATATATATAATAAGAATTACCATTTTTCAAAAATGGTAAGTCAAATTTTAGTCTAACTCTTCTATCATTAATTACATGCCATTTATGGCAACGTTTTTTTTTTTTTTTCACTTAAAAAGGAGCAACATTGAATGTGCCCTTTAAATGTGGAATTTGTTACCTTTTGGTTAATATAAAATCGAATTATTAAATGCATCCCTAAAAATGTGGAATTTGTTCAATTACAAAACGAAATTAATGTTGTGGAAATTGTTCAATAAGTTGATAAGTTTTAGAAATTAAAAAATACAATCGAAGAAGAAACCTCATCTTACAAAATCCCGCATAAAAAATTTCATCGTAAGCTTACAGAATCCCATCACATATAAATAAATCTCGACATGTTTAAAAAATCTCATTAACAGATTTTTTTAAAAAATTGTAGGTCATTTTTTAAAAGAAAAAAAGATAACACACTCTAATTTCTCATTAGCAACATAATATTTTTTTTCAAAGGTAATTTTCACCTATCTAATTACTAATATTTTTCAAATATTATTAATTTATATAATATTTTAGATATTTTAAACATTATTTGGGCAATGATTAACGATATGGAGGATACATGTAGTCATGTACATATATGGAGGTTAAATTTAAATATCTTTTACATGTTTTTTCTACAGGATTGTTTAGAAAAAATTTAGGTAGCTTCAAACAAGTTTCAAGAATAATATAGAATATTTACATACATTTTATATATGTGATATAATATCTTAGATGTTTTATTATATATATATATATATTAAAATCTAATAAAATTCATTACATATTTCTCCCCCAAAAATATTAAGTATTAATAGAAATATTAAATACATACCGTAAAATGTTAATGTAAACAATGCAGAATTAAATATGGTCCTCAATTTTTGTCTTAATATTAGTTAAATATAAAATCTAATTTTATTTGTTACGACCTGCATTAATCTCGATTTGCATTTGTAAAATTGAATGTGCATATAATTGTGCATTATGTGTGGATTTGCTATGCGTACAAAATTACTTTTGAGTTAACAATTTTCTCTTAATCTCAGTTAGATATAAAATAATTACCATTTTATTTGTAAAATTTATAAATATGCATATAACGTGTAATTGTATGCGTACACAAATTCTTTTTTGGGTAACTAAAACATAATAATATTTTTAAAATCTTTTGTACTCAAATTACTTAAAAAATAATAATAATTTTTTATTATTATTTTGAAATCTTTTGTACTCAAAATTTCAGGTACCGTCATAATTATGTCATATTTTATATATACTATGTAAATTTTCTCTCAAAAACTTTATAATGTCTTTATTTAAATTTATAATTTTATAGATACTTTTATATAATATTTTATCATGTCATATTCTATCTATATATACATATACATATACATATACAAATATACATATACATATTAAAATTAAATATTTTTAAGAATGTTTTCTTTACAAAAAAAAAAAAAA